GGCTTAGTAAGCTATTAGTGTCGCCACGGGGAATCAACATATAAGAAGAGACGAGTAAGTTAAGCATGTAATTACTAGCAGCGCAGCGCTTGTTAAGTACGCTGTTTCTGGCTCAATTCCATTTACTAATACAGGCCAATAATGCGATTATTGTGGTACATGTGATACATCATCGCTGCAGTTAGTCAATACATGTGTGTGCCTGCGTGCTGTGTTTCCTGTGTTTCAGTGATTAGCTGTTCACTGATATCCCCGTTGGGAGTGCGCTTGATGTGAATGTTGACACGATACGTACCAGTCTAAAATCCTCCACCACAATTACTGTCTACGGGAGAAGATGAACCGCTGCTGGGGAGAGGGGAAGGAATGTACTTGATTCGGTACGCGGTAACCTCCAAAAGATAGAGCTGTAAGTACTCATAAAAAACCAAGGTCTAATATGAACTCAACGATCATCTAAAAATTCGAGACCCCGATTCGCTTTGGTGATGACTATGACTGTAGAAGGCATCAGCAGTACGCCGGTACGCACTACCGACGCTTTACCTCCGCATAACCACCACGGGTTGCACGTGGGCTGAGAATACTCCGAGCTTCAGCCGTCCCCTACGCAGGCGCGAACCCGCGCCCTCGGATTACAGAGCAGAGTTGTTTCCTTAAGGCTAAGGGCTGTGGAATGATGACACTGCCTATCCATCGCAATTCATTGCTTATCCAAATGCCGTTTGGAAAGGGACTACAATTCGATCCCCGCAATAAGGATTGTGCTAAACCGAATATAATGCAATCGGAGGTTTACAAGATCAAGACCTGAGAGTGTAGGAATCCACTAAGTTCAGCTGAGTTGAATAAACATGGTAAGGGCAGTAAAGTGCAGTGGATATAGCTGCTATGAATCTCGCCGCAAGAATAACAATAAACAACAAGGGTAAGATAGTTGGGTTAAATGTAAATATAACGTAAAGAAAATAGAGTCAAACGGGTGCGTTAAACTAAACAGGATGAAACGAAAATTAACAGCTGGATGCAGGAAACCGAATGCAGAAACACCAGTGACTGCGCGACCGCGCAATCGCCGATAGTCTTCAAGCACTGATGTGGACAATCCCGGAGCCCCTATGCACAAATACGACCTGAGAAACCCTAACCAAGTCTCTCAGTCAATTTCTTCATGTCACAATTTAAATCACCTTGCAGTTTCGCCCAACTTGGTGTAGCCACGGCGCATAATGCAAGCCGAGGAAGGCGATCAACGGTCATACGGAGGAAATGAGCTAGTCAACGCAAGCGACTAAGATTTATCAGACACTCGTGTGAGAGACCAGAGGGTTTCTTACCAAAAACCAATTGGCGGACCTAAGTACCGCCTGCCCGGTATTCCCACCGTAAGTAATAAATATTCCGTAAGAACCAGCGATGGAACACAGCGAAGCGTTTAATGTATTCGCCGCGCACTGACCAGGTCTCTGATCGATAAAGTAAGACAGGCCTTGTCACGACGTTATAACCCCTAGCTTTCGTTGACATGTTGTTATCCCGCCGTCTCCACAGACGGATGAGACTCTGGAAAGTCACATGGGCCTTGGTGATACGCAAAGTAACCTCGTCAGTGAGGTGACCACCAGAGGCGACACAGCTACCAAGGTACATGAAACGACTCACCACTTCCAGTGGCTGTTCGGAAATACCGAATACTGTATTGTGGAAGCGAGTAGAAACTTCAGTGTGCACAACTCCATCGAAATATGATCAAAATCTCTAAAATAGCAAACTATGTGTCAATATGTTGATCGTTCTTCACATTATCATGTTGAATCTTTAAAAAAAGTCGTTTAACCCGTAGATTAGTACTCAGAAATGTGAGATATCTGTGGGTAATCGCCCTCGGAATTTAACGTCTGAGAAATGCATATCCGATGATGGTTCGAACTGCGGCACTAAGTTTGCTTCCACTATGTATGTTTCCCGAAAACCGTTCCAGACATTTAGCACCCATCGGCGGTGTATCGAATTAATCCTGGTACAGTAGTTTGCACCTTGAAATTGCAATGCACATGCCCAAACATGCAGCGGTAGGCACCAGTCGATAGAGTCATGTTTGCAACCGCGTCAGGCCCAAGCAGATGTATGTCGTTCGCATACTCCAGGTCTGTTAGTCGTTTGTTAAGGAAGCCCGTCTACAGCAGGTCTCTCATGCAGCCCCGAGAAGATTGGTCGCACGTACACTGAAGCTGATTGGATGGCCAATGAGAGCATGTTACCTTGAAGTCCACCAATGAGAATGATGTAACCTGAAGCCTTTCAGTGAGCGCGATATTTGAACGGCCAACAAGGGAATTTTCACGCATGCATTAATTACCAGAACACAGGAACTTCCAATAAGGTCATTATTTCATGAACTACGTACTTTGAGCCCATATTTTGGTTACACACAGCCATCCGGATGCTCCATACCAGCTTTGCCAAAAACCTTTGTCTTCTGAATTGAGAAGTGGTTGGACCGTGACGCGAGTGGCCGTATCGGTTATCCGAACGGTCGACGGAAACACAAAATCAGTAACTCGGCAGAGCTTACACTTCAGTAGAGTTTAAAAGAATTGTCATTCATGATCGTTTTGAGCACAAAGTTGAAAAAGAAAGGAGTTATAGGACAAGGATGGCGAACCCCACTTGTTGAGCGGAAGTCAGGAGACAGCTTCCAGTAGACCTTTCCCGGCCTCAAGAGTCACGGTAGAGTTCAGAATGGAAAGGAGTTTAGCAAGCACGCCGTTCATGGATAAGAAGTTCCAAAAGCTGGCGAAGTTAAGCATGAATACACTGGCGTATATTTTAAAGTATACATGTAATATCTTTGAAAGTGTAAGAATAGAAAACATTGCAGATGGTAATGATCCTCTACTATCTCGGTTCGAGTAAAAATTTCACTATTAATATGTATGAGACTGAATGAAAACAAGTGAAATACACTGAATTCTGGACATTGCGCCAGCCGAAATGTTTTATATTACTGTACTTTTAAAGTTCTTGACGGGAAATGTTTGCTCGAATACTTGTAAGAAATAGTTTCCAACTTCGTTTAACACAATCATGTCACTTCTCCTATCAGACTTCAAGTGGTTAACAAGCCATCGACAAATGATCTTGAGCTCACTAACAAAAAACGCATACTTGACGCAATAGTCACAAGAAGTACGCTGGGTCGCAATAAACATGAGAATCTGCTATTTGACTGCGTGTGGCATGTGGAATACCCAGAGAAAACGCTGATGAAGTTCATAGTGTCACGCGGTTTGATGTGTTATCTGAACTTGTAAGGGGAACACCCTATACCAATCCAGCTTATTATGCCTTATAATCGCACAGAAAACATTTACAAGTACCTTTATTGTATTGGTTGGGTACGCATTGCCGGAAAAAGCGAAAGCTTTTTCGAGAAGTGCAGCATGAAAGTGTGTGGCACGGCAAGTTCACAAGAACTCACTTAATACTGAAACCTGAACTGTATAAGATGCGAGGCGACTGAATCCAGATATTAAGGTGGTGATGAGGCGGCTGTGCTCTAGCCGCAAATTTTCAAACAGACAACAGAGGCCCTAGCAAAGTGAAGTGCTGAACCCCACTATCCGTAAAGTTTGATGAGCGTAAGCAAGCAACAAAAAAGCTAGCAATGCTTCGTGGTAGCAGTACTCATATGTAGTGCAGAAGAATCCTCCCCCATGGAGATTTACCACATAGCCCCATGCGCAGGAGCCCAGAAGAAGTAGTTGTCAGGCTTGCATACTAACAGTCCGCTGGAAGCAGAAATCATATGCCCAAAGACTGCAGCGATGGATCTGGCCGAAAAGCAGTCTATGTGTTATCAGCAGTGGACAGAGGACATATTTTATCTACGTAAAAGCGAGACGTCAGTATACTTAGCAAAAAGGGGTTGATTCGCATTGACCCTGCAAATGAACGGCCGGTGACACTGCTACTATCCCTTTCTAGTGTTGTTGAGGCAGTCATTGCAGATACCACAATAAACTAAATGAGAAATTACAGCATCGTAGCACACGAGCAACATGACTTGTAAAACATCGCTCCAGCAGTACTAAGGGGAAATAGTATTAGTACATAGACACACCAAAGAAATTTCCCCAGCGTAAACAGGTGAGACGATTAGTATCAAAGACAGTCTGTAAGCTAACGAAGACTATCATAAGAGGCCGCTTATATTTGTTGCGGTATTTGGTCCCCTAACGTAATGTGAATATATCGCCAGCACAATACTCAGCAAGGTGGAAGAGAATCTGCGTTCCACTGAATTGGCCTGCATGAGAATCAACGAGCTGCAGAAGCATGAAGGTGGACAGATGAAAGACAATGAAAGAGAGATCAATACCTTGGTGATTCCCCCGAGACACGTTCTAACTCCCCACTAAGGTAGGAAGTACAATTGACGGCCGCTGTCTTCAACGTCGGGCTTCATGTCACAGTCCGTCACAAGCTAGTCGACATTTGCTTGTAGCAATAACGGAGTGGAGTTACTAGCACCAGAAGAAATGTTTTGCATCAACTGCACCAACACAAGACCAATCTCGTTGATGATGAGGAATGTAGCTTCAACGCAGATTTGGATAGAGACTCAACAAACAAGCGACAAAGCGGACAAACTGAATTGCTCACTGATGTTCGGCCCGTTTTTCAGGGACTTCCTTAGACCTGTGTGTCGAATGGGCTGGAGCATTTAACTGCTCCACACGTCCTGGCTAACTTCGTCTCGCAAGCCCCCTAAATCCACTAGCGTACCCCGTCAATCAAACTCGGATGTCGTTCCCAATAAAGCCACCAAAGCCACCTCAATAAAAACGGATCGAAAATACGAGAGTTCAGTTAGTTCCAGAACGGCTGCACTGTTGTCGGCAACCGGTAAGGTACCATCCTGGGTCTGATGTTGGATTCTCTAAACAAACGCGAGCGTAATAACACATTGTCAGATGGAGTAACAACTGCAAACGTACTTGCTCGTAGTTGTGGTACTCATTGTTATGAAGCACAACCACAAAGGAATGAGACGCAGCCGTGCGTTCAGAAGCCGTACGAGTAGGTCGGGGAGGAAACAATCGTGGGTGCAACCGGCGAGCCCTAGCGAGCTGAGCAAGTGCGCGCTGCTCTACATCGAATGCCGTTCGACTCTTCGGAGCAGTTCGGGGCCAAGAATCCTCACCTAGCTGACTGGCATCAAGTGAAGGGGAAACCAAGGGAATATGTGAGATAGGCGGTGGCCAATCTTCCACAACGCTCGGAATATCGGCCGATTCGTTCACAACATTGTCGTCATATGGCCACAGATCATCCGCTAACTGTGGTGCAGCCTTTTTATCTGTGGTCTCGATGGTTCCGTTGAAATCTAGCAGGAGATCCCGAACAGAAGTAGATGAACCGACCAGCTCGAGACAATCTAAGTTCTGATTTTTATCGCTCACGGGTTTCGTCGTAAACGGCCGGGTAGCCTGAAAAGCAAGAGAGGTTTTCTCGGAAAGTGTGGGGATAGTAAAGACTGAAATGTTCCTAATGTGATAGTACGAAAACTGAGGGTAACATCGAAAAGACCAAACGCTAGTAAAAATAATTGCGATAGTGAAATCACATGGGGACAGTTGACTAGTTGTCTACGACGCCAAAGTTGAAAACTGGGTAGTGTGACCAGCAGGAAATTCTCAGGATTCCAGCAGAAGTGAGCTAGTTATGCAAACTGAGAAATTTTATATAGGCTGATGATGAGAACGAATGGATGGAGCAGCTATGATGCGTGTCAGATCACATGAAAGAGAGAAGCCGTCGAAATCACTTTGCGAAAAAGAAGGGACTGAGATTGAAGCGACACTGGCTCGGAAAGACGCAATCAGGAAATATTTTAACGATTACGACCTCTGCATACGAATATCTAAGTCCGTAGTAGAATCGATGTTCAGTGAACAGTGGATTCAGCTAAATTGTCCCATAATTTTATTCGGATCTGTCGCACATCTTATCAGTACCTGCTTGGAAGTCTCACGAAGCAGATATTATGGTTCTACTCGGGGAAAAGTTCCCGATTGTTATGGGGACCCAACGTCCGCATAAGACCGCAAGCTTGAAGCTATGTAAGTCGCTAAGACAGGCAGTAGACGAGTGCACAAGTTCGATCAGCTTTTGCGCCTATTTCCGATCAACCTCCAGGACATGAAACATTGTCTTTGTACCTAAAAAAACATTCCTGTTCCCAGCCAACTTTCCGCGACATGAACATTTCAGCTTTTTATCAAAGAAACGTTCATTACCCCCTTCAGCCAACGCATCTACTAACATTTACTTTTCGACATGTTCCGTTGGCATATTTACCTAGTGCCAATTCACTTGACTTACTATCAGGGTTTGCTAACGCAAACCCTTCCACAATCGCGGTATATAAGCAAAACTGAACTGCGCTGTAATCGCCTTGGCCTGGCTAGTAAAAGTGCCTGGGGCGAAAGGCTTGTCTTTATTCTTGCTCTTTTTCGGGTTAGGTAGTAGCATGTGAAGTCTACGTTCGATTAAGATCCCGTTCAACGTGCGTGTAGAACCGAGTTGCATCTAAGTCTCCGGGTGTACGAATTCCAACTCTGTCGGCTATCTTATCCGTGCGGTGTATCATTCTGTTCCAAGTCCGTTCATTCAACTGCGAGTCGTACCAGTCCGTTATACAGCAGGCGCATCTAAGAAGCACTCATAACACTGATCCGGATGATAGCTCCATGTGAATGCTTGACAAGCTTGAAAGAGCACGGTTAAAACCTGATATACTCTGAAGTAGCTGACATGAAGTAAGCTGACACACGATTTGCAAACCGTTGCTGCGGCACAACCAGTCGCTAGTTACCGCGTGAGTGATAGGAGCTAGAGATAACTGACCAATCTACCTTGACAACCAGCGGTAACGATGGGTGCGTAACTAAAAAGTCAAAAATCTTAAATCTGCGACAACTCCGTCGCAAAAAATGGAGTTCCCCAAATGAACTGTGGCTGCTGATAAGAGACATGAGTGGAAGTGGTGAGGCGTAACACTTGATATTCGATGTCGGGCGCCTTTAGGCTTTAAAGACCACCGTTGGCTATGGAAGGACAGATGGATGAAGTATGCGCACGAGTGCAAGACAGTGATGATTAAGTGAGCTCGTCAGAGCACCAAATACGCTATGTCCATTTGGGGAAGTGCCATGTGCGTCTGCTCACCGCTTACCGAGGACGACCTTGATAAGCCTCAAGAGTGGGGCAGATTTCGAAGGAAATAAGCAATGACAAAGCAGAGGAAAATAAATTCTCTGAAACTACCGCGGGTGCCGTAGATCCGTCTCGCGCTCCAGGCCGGAGTGTATGAGACCCACCCCCTGCTTCCTAGAGGAAGTAAAGGAAACAGTAAGCAGTGGGCACCATTGCAATGTTCGGCAACGTCTAGATGGGCTGCTCGTCTAAAGTACACGTGAAGATTATCGGTGTGGCATTGAAAGCATCAAAGAATCTGTCTCACCGATGTCACCCTGTATTCGCATGGCAATTAGTGGTCTGCGACTATTTATTGATGATGAGTATACGATTCAGTAGTGAATGGATGCTTATAGTGTTTAGAGCGCACAGCAGTCTCATCGTCCCCCGCTCCTGTTAGCCCTGAGTGGTGGGGACATGGTTCAGTCACTAGAGTAATGACAAGTACCGATGTATTTCGGTTGGTGACTATTATGATGGTGTCAATGCCACAATCCACAGAAGGAATGCTATCATCGGAATTGGGAGATTAAGATGTGGGTGGCATGAACTGCTGCGAACATGGGTACATTGTCGCATCGTGGATCTTGTGCGCATGTAGCTTGTGTTTAGGCTTGCTGTAGTAATGAATGACGATATCTCGGATGAATGTAAGTTAAAAAGGACAAAGTCTTATGCTGTTTATTCGGAAAGAAAACGAGATACAGCCAGGATCAGTTGAAATTCGTGAGTGACCAGTGTAGCATAAGAATTAGTTTGATCTTAAATCATGATGGCTAGATACGCATCAAAATTTTGCCTAGAAATTTAAATAAAAGTAAGAACGATTCGGGCCGTCAATCAAATCCCTTGGTTATCCTGTTAATCAGCGTTGTTCAAGAGGAAAGATAATGGAAAATTGCATCAAACCATCTCCAATAATAAGTCTAGGAAGTTGGCTGAGTAAGTATGTCTCACCTGATAAAGCTGATTAAAACGGCTTGGATTGGGGTTATTAAGTAGTAAATATGATGTTGCAGACAGGTAAAAGATATGCGACCAGCTATTCTGTGTCAAACTAGAAGAATGGTAGGTTGAAGGTAACATTGGTCTCAATTTAGTAAGCACACTTGAACTAGCAAAGCAGTTGAAGAGGAAAGTAGACCCAAAATTAACTTCATCATTTGGAAATTATCCCAGCGATGTCAATGATGAATCATATTATTCGTAAAGGGCATATCAGGGTAGCCTTGAACAGTACCTGGAGCAGGTCGCAAAGGCAAACAATTGTGCTCCTTAGAAGGGGTTCTAAAAGGCAACTGGTACGAAGAAGGACATCCTTTGGGAGACTTTGGAGATGTCCCCGTATAGAATGGAATTCAGACTCAAGATCCAACTCAACAGCATTTTCTGGATCCGCGAACCTTTCCGCGCCAACATAGGGGCCAATGTCCCCTTCGACTTTCGCTGGAAGATGATCAGTGCAACAAGCCCCAGAACGCCATGCCTCCACATCTCCACAATCACAATAGCCACCTCCCATGGACGTGTGCATCTGAAAAAGACGAGAATAAGCCTTTAACTAAAATAATGTGCTAACAACGTGATGACGTATTGCTGTATGGTAGAGCAGTAGGGATGATAGATGAATTTAATGATAAAAGCATCACGAATGGCTACCAAAGAAAGCTACTGCCCTTCACTCTAAATTTTTATGGAAGGTAGCGACTTCTAACTTGGCAAGAAGTGGTCACGAGAAAGTCGGTTGATGTAAGTGAGCGGAATGTTAGGTTCAGGACCGCACAAGCGCAGTTAAGTGGTACTCGTCAAATGTGATTCTGCAGTTTACTAGCTTAATGCCAATGCTGCACAAGAGGACACTTGTGAAGATTCTATTTAGTCTCGTCAGACTGACTATCTGGTTGGTGACCTGGAGCCGATTATCAACACGCAAATGGCTTCCCTTGGAAACTCATTCAGAAGGACGGTCAAATCCGCGAAAGAAGTGCGGTACATATCACAGCTAGGAAAAGGTATTATTAGAGTCCCCTTTAGGGGTGACACTGCTACACTGAGGCATACAATACGTCTGATTACTGCAAGTCAGAGTACTTTCCGTTGTGTCGATACTGCAGTCATCGACCAAGCTAATAAGCTGCAGCTGTGTTCGCTGAAGGAAACTCAGCCTCTCGGGGTCAATTCCCATTGCGTATAACAACTTGTAACTGCGGGGCTAGTTACATAGGGAGAACCGATAGGACAATGAGTTCGCGAATGGAGGGGCCCATGCCATAATGGATTCAATGCGAGACTGTGTAGCAAGTAGACCCAAGTCAGACTACGTGTTCACACAAGCCGTCAGCATCTTCCATCGGTAGACATTCTTTGAGCTCGAGTCATCGGACTGAGGTGAACAAGGCATTCAAGATTCTGCTACGCCATACCGATTCCAGATTTCTCTAGCTCGCAAACACCGTTGCCTTAAGCCGGATTAAACCAATGAATTGGGATCGAAAGCAATTATCGGTCAGTCTAAGGCTGCCCTGGATATAGGGTCAGGATACCTGGATTTCCTCGTGCTAGTCTGTATGTATGTTTGCATCCTCAAACTATTGTATTCAATTACGAGTTACCGTTAATAGCACTGATGAGAGGATAAGGAATGCATACATTTGCGAAACTTTGTCTTCTCAATACACTTATCAAATTACTTGGAGGAAGTAACTGCTTTAAATGTGTATATGTCCAGTGGACAACCAGTCTAATGAATACACTGGTTTATTTGACATGCACACATGGTACCGTTGAAGCTAGGCTGAGGAGCCAAAGGTTTAGGTGACCAATATGTAACCAAAAGCTAAAAGGATACAACAGATGACCCCAAGCAGACGGAAAACATCGCGTTCATGTCTAATACTGTGGTATAATGAGATCCTGACCACTAGCTAAATTACAGTGGCAGATCATCACATGCAACAAAGTAAGGTGCATATGAGCCGAGCGGTGAGTGTCATGGAAAAGAAAACGTGGTCCTGTGTGAAAAGACCCTCATTGTGATGCTTCCAAATGCACAGGGAAAGTGTACAACTAGAACAACCGAATCGGCACTGAATACATACCGTCATAATAGTGTATGACTCACCTTGTAGCTGTGTTTTAAGTGGACGCTTTTGAAAAAACATGATCGGCACAACACGCATGTGGGATCCACGGCACAGTCGCTGCGAGATAAAAAGCAGTACGCCAACAGTGAACAAACTAACAAGCAAGTGAAATACGTGCAGAGGATTAGCCCAAGAACATTGGTCATTCGGAAAAATAGTGCCTTGTGAGAGAGTAAACAGCTGAAAGGAGACATTCGGCAATACGAGTCCGAAAAGTAGTAATCTGCGAGCAAAAGTGTCCAGAGTGCTCTACCAACACTACATAGACAAAGTAGTAAATCCGGCAACAAACGAAGGCAAACAGATCGATGGGACTGGGACAACCAGTCCTACAGCGCCCCAAATGAAGTAGATTTGCGAGCAACTCACGGACAGCGACAGTAGAATCGTGCAGAAAAGCGAAATAAGAGTCAAATGTGCACTAGAGGAAGATGAAAAAACCGGAGCGACGTCAACGGTAAAGGTATTGTAATAGCCCCTGCGATGATTCGCAGTTCCCAATGGAAAAACATGATTGGTCTCTAAATGTCCGGAACGCGCATTAACCAGGTTAAGCATTCATAGAGTGGTAGCGGTCGGCCGGTGACCGAAAGGGTTGTGCGCCTGCGTCGTACTCCGAAGGTCTCCGGTTCGCATCCACTTAGGTGCAAGTGACCTTGCGTCAGAACCGGGCCTCGCGCGACTTGTGGTGATCGCGTGGCAGCGAAACGTCGTTACGGTGCGACGGTGAGCGCTGATAACTTTTAATGGTTGCACTGAAGCGTCGTGAAGCTGTTTCCTCAAACAATAAGTCAATATTTCGATATATCTACCAGTTACAGAAGGTTAGAAAGGTATTTAGCAAAAAACTGCAATAATGTGACTAAGGTGACACAAATTCGTAGATGAACAAACCGATTGATGGCTTTAAAAATGCTCGGTAAGTTGTGATAAATATCGGTTTAGCTTAGTTCACTTAAGTAACTGTGATCCATTCGATAAGGCGATGCTCCATGACACATAATGTCAAAGTAATATTACTCAATAATAACAATGGTGATAGCATTGATGATGATGATGTAATAATAATAATAATAAAGATATTAATATTCCAGGCGGAATGCGTAGTTAAAACCGCAAAAATGTAAGTGATGATAGCGTTAAGGATGTTGACTTCAATGCTGTGCTGCATTCGGTAATATCTAACACATAATACCGCTGATCCAAAAGTCCCCGGCTGGAAGGTCCGGGTTTATTCCGTCCCAGTAAACTATTGAGCGTAAATGCTTCTGGAAATAGTGGATTTTCGCCTAGCAAGCATTTACTCTGTAATAAGTAACAAATGTCCATTTACCAATACGGTGATGTGGTGGAGGTGACCAGTCAATAAAGCCACTGCTTCACCCCGACGGTCCAAGAGATGAATGTTGGGTGTATTAGACCACAATTTGGCAACTCACAACAACCAAAGGCATAACAAAGGGGTAGTTACAACGTCTCCCAATGGGCGCAATTTGCTGAATTGGCTTCGCATCCTTGCGGCCAGGCTATTCAGCCTATTCACGATGGAATGCGAGGTGAATAACATCATCCGCGTCTTGGACGTACACCTAAGATGGAATCTAGACGGTACACCCACCCGATCTGTGCATCGGAAGGCCACTTGGACAGGATAATATCTCAGATTCAACAGTTTCTGTCCAATAAACTATAAGCAAACTTTAACTCGCTCTGCATTCGCTAGAGTTCGCAAAATTTCTGTACATACGATTGACAGTGAGCTGGAACGAGTGTCATCAATACTACGTGAAAGCGGTTACCCCGCGAGATTTATAGCCTGGTAAGCAGACGTAAAAAAAAACATCAAGAAACATCTAACAGATGTCCCCAAGAAAAAAGTCTGCATTGCGATGCAATTCAACGGAGACCAAAAGGATAGAAAATTCCGGCATCGCCTCCATCAAATCATAAAGAAATGCTACTATGCTACCGAGCTGGTGTTATTGCACCAGGTGAGGAAATTGCTGTGTAAATTCAAGCTGGACAAGCCAGACGCTCAAGTTACCGCCTCTTGTGTTCACCTTTTGCACTGTACTTGTGGTAGCAGGCACGTCTGCCGAAATGAGCGGAGGCTGTCCACTGGGATTTCAGAGCACGTCTCAAGAAACATGGCTGAGAAAGGATCCAAACTGCCGGCTAGCTCTATAGTGCAGCACACCCAAGACTGTGGTACGTGTCGAAGTCCTCGACAATGGTTTAGTGTCGTTTGTCAACAAAACAATGCCCGCCAGGTTCAGTTCGCGGAAGCTTCAGCGATTCGGTGACCGAAGCCCAACTTGTGCAAGCAGACTGAGTTTACGGCAAGCCTTTTTGCCGTGGGGAGGTCATCGATCGTCTTTATTTAAAGTGGATGACTTTGCACACTGATTCCACTTGCACGCCATGCGATACTTTCACGAAGTGCATGTATACAAGTAACCAGAAAACGCAAAATAACAGAATTCAATGTACCTTTTTCTTCTTGCTATTTTGTTATTCAGTAAAGGTTCGGAGTGGTGTCCCTAAGTCAACACCTTACTTTGATCTAGCCAACCGGGTAGTACTGCGCCTTCTGAAAAAAAACATTAATTACTCTGTGTTGTGCCAGATTTCCTTTAAAGATAACTGCTCATTCGTTTGCTTTCCATACTTAAGATAGTTTTAAGTCTTTTCGTAGACCGTTGTAAATTTATATATATATATATATATATATATATATATATATATATATCGTAAAGCTTGCGCAAGTTAACCTCTTGACGTTGAAATAAAGATATCTACATAAAGTTAACATGGTGAATGTATAGATACTAAAAGGACAAACGGTCAACCTGTAGAGGTGGTCAACTTCGGAGGTGTTACTGTACATATACTTGGCGGCATCCGGTTACGGATTTGGCTTTCACAGTAGCTTCCATGGGACAGCCACAGGACGCCTGTGTTTATAGAAGGTCCATGGGGGGGGGCTTGTGCTGCACCACCCACAGCTCCATCAACACATCCCATATCCAGTGTAAGCTTGAAGAATGGGAGCATCGTTTCATCAACGGAGCCGGCCCACACTTCTGCTGCATGCTCAGCAGCAGTACTCTTGTCTATATATGTGGGGGACCATGGGTACCAGACGTATACAAGGCGGTCGCTGGGCCGAAGCCCGTTCCACATTGGATGCATGGAATCACTCTTTGAGCCTAGCACGGTTTTGAGGACCGTGCGTCCCGTCCCCTCCAGCAACGAATAACTGTCTCCCGGGGGCAGTATAGGCGAGGTAGTGGATAACAGACGGGTAGGCACCTTATCGGCATTTACATCAAGCGTAGCCAGACGGTGCATACCACACACGAGGTTCAATGTGTCAAGCGCACGTATGACAGACAGTCAAGCGAGTTTAGTCAAACATAAACGATCAAGTATAAGATATGCACAATGGTAGTGCGAATTCAGGCACACTCATATGCATCAGTCCACAGTTGTGTATGCACTACCACAGACTGAAGGGAAAGACAGTTACGTTTAGGGACAACCATAATGAGATGAGGGACGACGATCGCAAAAACACTATGCAACCTCCATAAGCTGCAAGCCTGACTCCACCTACAAAAGACTGCCTATACAGTGCACACAGACGACAAATTACATTGTGTAAGAAAAACAAAATTTATTTTATATAACAGAAATGCCAATGTCCCTACCTTATAGAATGCACACCATTAATCGTATAAATGTATTCCGATGTTGTCTAGCACGTCGGTTTACATTGTCATAAGCAAAATATTATTTTCAGTAATGTCAAGGCTACGTCGTACGAATTATATGTAAATGTACTGAATCAAAAAATATACCGAATGCATCTATGTGGCAAATAGGTTTAAAACATCACTGAAACACCCGCCGGTAACGACTGACTGCAGCTTGGCACTGGGAAATGTTGACTTCGCCGAGATCGTCGCTTGTATGATCCAGTGCCCTCCAGCGGAAGCAACCAGCAAAAGTCACCCATCATAGAAGACGTGTACTTTCCACTGTAGCACTGTTTCATGACTGAAATGTCTTAATGAAAACGCTCACTATGTGTATCGCTAACAGATCCCAACTTCTCAGCGTAAAAGTCAAGGTGATTATACAAAAAGTGCATCTTGAGTGATATTCTAGCGTCAACAGCCCGATAGTCCGCAATGAGCTTTTTGTGATGGTTTTGTAGTTCCCTGCATTGTTCTACCCAACAATCCAACAACACACTGCCTTGAATGATCGCCACGCTCCTAACTCAAATGAAATCAACTGCCATTCGAAAGCACTGTCTGCAGTTATCCGGCGAATCTCAGGCATAGTAAGTATCCCTTCTTTGAGCTTTACATCACTGATCTTCGGAGACACTTGCTTCAGGTACTGGAACGCAAAAGCATCTCGCGTATGGGCTTTGACGAAGTCTTTAATCAAACCAAGCTTCATCTACAGTGGTGGTAGATAGATATGAGCAGGTTACACAAGGGGTTTATGGTTTACACTGATCTTCCCTGCAACATAATCCGTCATCTCTGGCCACTTTCCGGTTGTGTAGTGCTGTTGATTTGCTCTACTGTCCCCTAAGCACAAGAAACTGCAATATTTTCTGAAGCCTCCTTGTATTCCTATTAGGCGTCTAATGACTTTGAAGTCAGCACAAATGTTCCAACATTATTGCTCGTAGTTCAGTGCAGCCAGGATCGGTTGCATAGTTTCGTACGTCTCCTTCATATTGGTGGCGTGCAACAGAGGCCCATTTGGGTACACATTTCCATAGTAGAGCAGTTTGGCCTTAAGACTACTCTTGGACGAGTCAGTGAACAAACGTCATTCATCACTGATTTGCCCCACGCCAGGCGCCTTCATAAATTCTTCCACGTAGAAACAGTAACAAAACGTTTCTCTCGTGTCGTAGGAACCGGACAAATTAACACCGCTTTCTGTATACAATAATCTTAGTGTTTGCAGCAGGTAAGTGCCACTGATGCAGCCGATATGCCATCAACTTAGCCATGTCTTTAGGCAATCCCAGA